AGGTATGTGACTCTATAGGGAGACTGGACCTGTAGGGTATATGTAGTAGGTATGTGACTCTATAGGGAGACTGGACCTGTAGGGTATATGTAGTAGGTATGTGACTCTATAGGGAGACTGGACCTGTAGGGTATATGTAGTAGGTATGTGACTCTATAGGGAGACTGGACCTGTAGGGTATATGTAGTAGGTATGTGACTCTATAGGGAGACTGGACCTGTAGGGTATATGTAGTAGGTATGTGACTCTATAGGGAGACTGGACCTGTAGGGTATATGTAGTAGGTATGTGACTCTATAGGGAGACTGGACCTGTAGGGTATATGTAGTAGGTATGTGACTCTATAGGGAGACTGGACCTGTAGGGTATATGTAGTAGGTATGTGACTCTATAGGGAGACTGGACCTGTAGGGTATATGTAGTAGGTATGTGACTCTATAGGGAGACTGGACCTGTAGGGTATATGTAGTAGGTATGTGACTCTATAGGGAGACTGGACCTGTAGGGTATATGTAGTAGGTATGTGACTCTATAGGGAGACTGGACCTGTAGGGTATATGTAGTAGGTATGTGACTCTATAGGGAGACTGGACCTGTAGGGTATATGTAGTAGGTATGTGACTCTATAGGGAGACTGGACCTGTAGGGTATATGTAGTAGGTATGTGACTCTATAGGGAGACTGGACCTGTAGGGTATATGTAGTAGGTATGTGACTCTATAGGGAGACTGGACCTGTAGGGTATATGTAGTAGGTATGTGACTCTATAGGGAGACTGGACCTGTAGGGTATATGTAGTAGGTATGTGACTCTATAGGGAGACTGGACCTGTAGGGTATATGTAGTAGGTATGTGACTCTATAGGGAGACTGGACCTGTAGGGTATATGTAGTAGGTATGTGACTCTATAGGGAGACTGGACCTGTAGGGTATATGTAGTAGGTATGTGACTCTATAGGGAGACTGGACCTGTAGGGTATATGTAGTAGGTATGTGACTCTATAGGGAGACTGGACCTGTAGGGTATATGTAGTAGGTATGTGACTCTATAGGGAGACTGGACCTGTAGGGTATATGTAGTAGGTATGTGACTCTATAGGGAGACTGGACCTGTAGGGTATATGTAGTAGGTATGTGACTCTATAGGGAGACTGGACCTGTAGGGTATATGTAGTAGGTATGTGACTCTATAGGGAGACTGGACCTGTAGGGTATATGTAGTAGGTATGTGACTCTATAGGGAGACTGGACCTGTAGGGTATATGTAGTAGGTATGTGACTCTATAGGGAGACTGGACCTGTAGGGTATATGTAGTAGGTATGTGACTCTATAGGGAGACTGGACCTGTAGGGTATATGTAGTAGGTATGTGACTCTATAGGGAGACTGGACCTGTAGGGTATATGTAGTAGGTATGTGACTCTATAGGGAGACTGGACCTGTAGGGTATATGTAGTAGGTATGTGACTCTATAGGGAGACTGGACCTGTAGGGTATATGTAGTAGGTATGTGACTCTATAGGGAGACTGGACCTGTAGGGTATATGTAGTAGGTATGTGACTCTATAGGGAGACTGGACCTGTAGGGTATATGTAGTAGGTATGTGACTCTATAGGGAGACTGGACCTGTAGGGTATATGTAGTAGGTATGTGACTCTATAGGGAGACTGGACCTGTAGGGTATATGTAGTAGGTATGTGACTCTATAGGGAGACTGGACCTGTAGGGTATATGTAGTAGGTATGTGACTCTATAGGGAGACTGGACCTGTAGGGTATATGTAGTAGGTATGTGACTCTATAGGGAGACTGGACCTGTAGGGTATATGTAGTAGGTATGTGACTCTATAGGGAGACTGGACCTGTAGGGTATATGTAGTAGGTATGTGACTCTATAGGGAGACTGGACCTGTAGGGTATATGTAGTAGGTATGTGACTCTATAGGGAGACTGGACCTGTAGGGTATATGTAGTAGGTATGTGACTCTATAGGGAGACTGGACCTGTAGGGTATATGTAGTAGGTATGTGACTCTATAGGGAGACTGGACCTGTAGGGTATATGTAGTAGGTATGTGACTCTATAGGGAGACTGGACCTGTAGGGTATATGTAGTAGGTATGTGACTCTATAGGGAGACTGGACCTGTAGGGTATATGTAGTAGGTATGTGACTCTATAGGGAGACTGGACCTGTAGGGTATATGTAGTAGGTATGTGACTCTATAGGGAGACTGGACCTGTAGGGTATATGTAGTAGGTATGTGACTCTATAGGGAGACTGGACCTGTAGGGTATATGTAGTAGGTATGTGACTCTATAGGGAGACTGGACCTGTAGGGTATATGTAGTAGGTATGTGACTCTATAGGGAGACTGGACCTGTAGGGTATATGTAGTAGGTATGTGACTCTATAGGGAGACTGGACCTGTAGGGTATATGTAGTAGGTATGTGACTCTATAGGGAGACTGGACCTGTAGGGTATATGTAGTAGGTATGTGACTCTATAGGGAGACTGGACCTGTAGGGTATATGTAGTAGGTATGTGACTCTATAGGGAGACTGGACCTGTAGGGTATATGTAGTAGGTATGTGACTCTATAGGGAGACTGGACCTGTAGGGTATATGTAGTAGGTATGTGACTCTATAGGGAGACTGGACCTGTAGGGTATATGTAGTAGGTATGTGACTCTATAGGGAGACTGGACCTGTAGGGTATATGTAGTAGGTATGTGACTCTATAGGGAGACTGGACCTGTAGGGTATATGTAGTAGGTATGTGACTCTATAGGGAGACTGGACCTGTAGGGTATATGTAGTAGGTATGTGACTCTATAGGGAGACTGGACCTGTAGGGTATATGTAGTAGGTATGTGACTCTATAGGGAGACTGGACCTGTAGGGTATATGTAGTAGGTATGTGACTCTATAGGGAGACTGGACCTGTAGGGTATATGTAGTAGGTATGTGACTCTATAGGGAGACTGGACCTGTAGGGTATATGTAGTAGGTATGTGACTCTATAGGGAGACTGGACCTGTAGGGTATATGTAGTAGGTATGTGACTCTATAGGGAGACTGGACCTGTAGGGTATATGTAGTAGGTATGTGACTCTATAGGGAGACTGGACCTGTAGGGTATATGTAGTAGGTATGTGACTCTATAGGGAGACTGGACCTGTAGGGTATATGTAGTAGGTATGTGACTCTATAGGGAGACTGGACCTGTAGGGTATATGTAGTAGGTATGTGACTCTATAGGGAGACTGGACCTGTAGGGTATATGTAGTAGGTATGTGACTCTATAGGGAGACTGGACCTGTAGGGTATATGTAGTAGGTATGTGACTCTATAGGGAGACTGGACCTGTAGGGTATATGTAGTAGGTATGTGACTCTATAGGGAGACTGGACCTGTAGGGTATATGTAGTAGGTATGTGACTCTATAGGGAGACTGGACCTGTAGGGTATATGTAGTAGGTATGTGACTCTATAGGGAGACTGGACCTGTAGGGTATATGTAGTAGGTATGTGACTCTATAGGGAGACTGGACCTGTAGGGTATATGTAGTAGGTATGTGACTCTATAGGGAGACTGGACCTGTAGGGTATATGTAGTAGGTATGTGACTCTATAGGGAGACTGGACCTGTAGGGTACATGTATATGTAGTAGATACGTGACCCTATAGAGAGACTGGACCTGTAGTGTATATGTAGTAGGTTTGTGACTCTATAGGGAGACGGGACCTGTAGGGGATATGTTGTAGGTATGTGACTCAATAGAGAGACTGGACGTGTAGGGTATATGTAGTAGGTCTGTGACTATATATATGGATACTATTCCAAACAGAAGATGTACACTATGATACATAATTTAGATACGTGACTCAATAGGGAGACTGGACCTGGAGGGTATATGTAGTATGTATATGTGACTCTATAGCGAGACTGGATTTGTAGGGTCTATGTAGTAGGTATGTAACTCTATAGAGAGACTGGACCTGTAGGGTATATGTAGTAGGTATGTGACTATATATATGGAGACTATTCCAAACAGAAGATGTACACTATGATACATAATTACGTTCCACACAAACACTTTGGTCCATAATCACTATTCACACAGACAATACACACTCTGATACATAACTACGTTCCACACAGACACTAATTAAACTCTTTGATACATAATCACGTTCCATACAGACACACAGACTCTGAATAGTAAGATGTTATTTATTTCCACCAGAGACGTCTACAGTTTTACTGGTTACGGCTTGTTGTACGTCTCTGATTCCACAGTGATTCTTAACGTTTTAAGGAATCAGTTATGGATTTATACTATGTGCAGTCGAGTTATATATTTATCCAACTCTGTTTGGCAGCATCATCTTGGCACAGACTGAGTGTTCTGATATGTGCACCTGTAAGTTGTCATGTACGTACATGTATGGTATATATATGCATGTCTACTAGACAGGGTATTGTTTGGATAAATGACAATCGAAACATACTTTATGCATATTCATACGTTTATCAGTTGTCAAACGCTCAAGGCTCCTTTTTTTCAACTTGTATATTAATAACCAAACAGACACCTGTTGTATAATATGTAACAACACAGGTGTACTACATCAATAACTAAACATGGACAAAATAAGGTATGGCACTTGTATAACAGCTGTTTTCGTGACATGTGTGTGTTTCAGCGTGGACACATATGGTACCCAGTGCCAATACATGGTGGTTCGGAGCTGGAAGATAGCCACACGTGTCGCGTGCTGTCTGAGAATTATACGACATCTAGTACACACCGACTCCAGGGCTTCTAGGGCATACGATGATCAATTCGAAGTAAAACATCCTCGCCATCAATATCTCTGCCGAGTACTATATTTCACACGCGCAATCTCATCAGACGACACACGCGGGAAACCTAAGCACATGTACACAATGTAGTAATACCAATGAACGTAAGGTAATATATCAAAATACTCACTTGTTTGATGGCTGGTCTCCGGTCTCTTAGAGGTTACCCGGATGTTGGGGTAACTGCACTGTAATTGCGATGACGATGAATAGTTTTGTAGTGTCTAAAATCATTTTTAATTCTTCCCTTTAGTATCGATCCTCGGCGTTTGTGTGTGTGTGTGTGTGTAGCACATGGTCTACATATAATACCGCAATATTAGACACGTCTCTCACTATAGCTCTACTCTGGAACACCCATCCGCATTCCGGAATAATAAAGAATCGAAATATCCAACGGAAAACATAATATCACAACACACATATATAAATATAATAAACCAAACGCCTTCACGTGACGAATTTTCCGGAACTGCCTTCAGTCGTTAGTACATTATTAGAGAGGAGAGGATGTCGTCTGGTTATACTACGAAGCTAGTAGTGCTTGTCGAGTATGGACCAGAGCATCTACGACTGCGCGTCGGGCTACAAAATCGATAGCGTGGAAAGGCCAGCCATCTCGCACACAGGCAGACGACACAAACTTGGTGATCGGGATTATTACCATTGTGAAATCTATGAGTTTATTTATGTATATAGATGGAGAACGATGTGATTAAATTGACATCTGTTTGACACCAAATGAATCCACAGTTGTGTGTCAACACGTTGTCTGCCAGTCTTTTAACATAAAACTACTATACACGTAGGTAAACAATGGTCCATTGTTTACTACTGTATGCTTACGATAAACAGGCGGTGATTTCCAAACAGCTTTTTTCCAATTTGTTTTCCTGAATCCAAAACATGACATACATTGTAAATTGAAAACACATGGGTGTCAAGTATTAACTAAAGGGACCACAATGAACGTTGTTCCACTACAAGAACTACTTTTGCTGTTGTAATTGTAATTTGTAAACGCTATCGCTCTTTTTCTATTAATTTAACAAATGAATGTTTATTGCATCAACAAACTAGAATTGGACAGAAGTACATGTATAAGACATGTTTTTGTCCCCGGGGCCATGACCTGCTATTTGATCACCCCTATACACACGTTATTCAGAAAACCTCGTCGTGAGTAAGAATTTCCTTTGATAAAAAAAACCCATGCCCTAATAAATTGTTTTCAGAAAACATCAAAATAAATATTTTAAGTCGATTAATTAATTGTTTGGGCTATAAAAAATCGATCAACACAGATTCGCACGGGAAAACATGGCTGCTTCTTCGTTTACTCTCGATGTCTACATAGAAAGATTACAACAAAGAGGGAAATAATTGTACAATGTATTGGTTTGGTAAATCTTCTGTTTAATATAAAACCATTTTCGCTTCCTTTATGTAATTAATCAGAAGACCAAACTTCCGCTCTAAATAAATTGTTTGTGCATAACATAATATAAAAGTGAGATATATGATCATATTTTAAACATTGCGATAGACATAGCACTACTTATATATCTCGACCTTATATGAAACGGCATCTTGAACAAAAACAATAGGAACTGCATCGTACAACCATTCAAATGTTGGAACTTTCAACAGGAGCAATTCTTTAAAGGCAACAATAAGAATGTAGGTATGTATAAAATGAGAATCCTATAGCTCATTGTCTTGCCTGAGTTTTGCACAAGTTCAATCAAAATTTCCTTCCGACCTGTCTGTTTGTTGAGCAACTAATTAAAAATATTTAAATATATATAAAAAAAAAAAAACTTTATAAGAATGAAGGTATGTATATGATGGAAGTGTCTTGCGGATTATTGCACAAAGTACAAGTGATCCGGAATATTCAGGACTCGCACAACTAAATCAGCCAATCGGACGTGAAAAGGTTGGGGTCACCACGAACACGTGGGTATTCTCCGGGTACTCCGGTTTCCTCCTACACTAAGACCCCCCACGCGCTAACATCCGGGCCAACAAGAATGATTGATATAAGTTGAAATAACTTTTTTCATAATTGTTGTTAAATAAATAGTTTATATTTAAATCAGCCAATCAGCAAGTGTTTCATACGTTTGTAGTTCCTATCTGAATTAAGTTCCGGTAATTACTGGGCCACTGAGGAAGTTTAATAAGGAACTGATGACAGATTTTTAGATAAATGAAATGTTCAGGTATTTAACTTTTGAAAAATGTATACTTTTGATATATTTTCGTGTCTGTGTGCGGATTTGCACAGGGGCAAAATGTCTGGGGACGTTTCTGTTTTGGGTCACCGGTTTTCATGTAAACTTCCGGTTGTTAACTTCTGGACGCTGTGACACTCCAATATGCCACTAAACCTACAGAAAAAAAAACATTTTGTAGCCTTTGCAAGGTATGTATTTATGAATCTAGACAGTTGTCACTGGTGTTGAACTTCAAATATTAAAGTTATTAGCTGAAATGTTTGGTAATAACATATAGTAAATGATTTAGTTGTGTGAGTCATTCATACCCTGCAAGTTTCAAGAAATAGTTTTTCTCACCAATTCTTACCAATACTACAACTCTGTTAGCTGATACAGCTGAAGGTTTTGCTTGAGGTCATTACAGTGTACTTAACCAGCCTAATTCGCTTAAGGTAACGGATAACAATACCATAAACTATATTACTACCTATTTGTCATAACAGTGGAAGAATGTTTGTGTTATTTTTATGTTTTCTTTCATGTTTCAAAAGTAATTTTTCATAAAAATAACATGCGGCTCATTTAACATGATTGTAATAGTGCGACATTCGAATGTTTGAATTAGAAATACGAAAACACAGAAAACCTGGAGCTTTAATTTTTCTTGGTGATAAATTTTAAATAATGCCGATTCTCTTTTTTAAACGTAGTTCAGTTTTCAAAATGACAAAGGTACGCCACTTCTTTTGTCGACTTGTGGGATTTTTTTTATTGCGGACGGCGCTCCATTTTTGTGTCTTTGTATTCATTATTTGTTAAAATGCCTTAAAACTTTGTACTTATAGAACATGCATTTTTGACACGCATATTGTTAAGAAAAATACATATAGCTGTACCTTTTTAGAAAATCGGAGCTTAAGTTTTTCTGCAATCATCCCAATAACATATGTTATTTCGCCCTTTTTCCGACCTTATCCCCTTACGTTCTATACTAGAACTAAATAATAATAAAAAGAAACACATTTCATTATCCTTTTTTTTTTCCTTTTAAAACACAAACAAGATTATCCATTGCAGGCGACAAAGGCATTTAAGTAAGCTCTCCTAGGCCTCTTTTATCCAAAATTAAAAAGGTTTTAGTATTAGATGACAACTTACTAATGAGCTTATACATTTTTTGAATATTTAACGAAGTATATTGTAAAAAAAGGTTTCCGATGTTAGTAAACTTTTACTCTGGACTGGTGAAGTTCTATATAGAGAAATACACTGTGTATGATAATTTCACGAAAACACAGTTGTTCACGTGATCCATGGGGACACCAGAGCTAATGGCCGTCTGAATACTAGGATTAAGTATAACCTGAGGCGTACATGTATGTGTCTGATAGAACATGATTAATTAACGAACACTTCAATATGTCAATGAAGTTGAGCATTATATCACAGACAGAATTATACAAGTAATTTCCAACAGCTGATCCGGCTGTATCCAAGGGCGCATGCAACGCTTCCCAGCGTTTGTCATTTGAACTATACCCGTACGCAAGTCCCTTAGACCAGACTTACGCTCAGCCACTTCGGCGTGACGTAACGAACGTGGTCAATATCTGGTACAATAACAATGTAATAAATTAATTATGATTATAATTAGTCGGATACGTCACAATTAAACCCGCCGGCCAAATGACAAATGAATCGGTTCCGTTTGTCACGGTTTATTTAGCACAGGTGATTTGTTTCGTGATTGGGAACTGTACCGATACGGTTAGTTGATCACATTCGTTGTGTTATATCGATCCGCTGTCCGTTATTAACTATGCACGGTAATCAGCGCCATCTGTCGGTAGGGATGACAATAACATCCTGTTGGTGTATTATCATTCGATAAGGCTTCCGGCGAGTTTCCAACACTTCAAATAGCATAAATAGCAAGCTTGATTAATTTTCATGAAATGGGAGAAAGCCGTACTTATTATTTTGCTGAAATAATATATTTGGTTTCGTTTTATTTGGAGCAGTAGTATTTTCACGGTATTAGATATAGAGAGTCGTGTCATTTTGGGCTGTGCTTGTTTTGCAATATTGGCGTTATAATTTACAAAGTCGGAAACACGCCCGTTTGATGGCGCTTTTGAATTTTCGTATACATGTATCTTCTTTTTTGATATTTCTATGACATTTCACCTAGATCTGTTAGTGACCTACACTTTACAACGTTGATGAACTAGATTCCTTTTGTTCATCATTGGGCGGTATATCAAAGTTAACAATTGGCGAGTATCTACATATCTACAAATAAAACTATTCTCTCCTTTGTTTTTATACTGGTTCATAAACATGTAGCACAACCAGTGAGATGTCTATGTATGTACTCCGCTAATTTCCGACAAATGACCAGCAAATCGTATGTACAAGTTTGGTTTAATTAGGTTTAATTTTGTTTAACGATTTATTAACTGCTAAGGTCATTTAAGGACGTGCCTCCATGTGTGTAGTGTATGTGTATATGGAGGAGACAGGGTATGTATCCTTCACTGGTCATTTGTCTTCAGTTAATCTACAAATTGGATAGGCAGGCACAAACCCCGAACTACCTAACGCATCTACTTCCCACTAAGGTGGGAGAAAACCGACATGCTCTTAGAAATAATAAAAACTGTAAATCATTTAAATCAGGGACGTATACTGTCTCTGTTTAAATGTACATTTAACGTTGAGATTATTACTGTTTGGAAATGAAAATCTGGCTTTGGATACAAATTGTGATGCATTCAAACAAGTGCAAACTTTTATTAGATCCAGTGGAAAAATTTAACATATTTCGATTATGAACCTGACTTTAAAATATGTTTTTTTTGTGTATTTGTATGTGTTACTGTACTTTAAAAAAATCGCTTCATACTACTATGAAGTGTAATTGACAATCTATATCATCATCTGTTGTTTTGAATTATTGTTGAAAGGTGATAACTTCATAAGTTGTAATAAATTGTGCCAAATCCTATTTTCCAATTTTGGTTAATAAAACATGTTTAAAGTCAAGTCTGAAGAAGGTGTACATATCGTTTTCATCATCGCACATCATACTGTGCCAAAAACATTTCACTGGATGTGCTATGTGGACCTCTATGCAATCTATACTTACCAATATGAATAAAACATGTAGAAATATTTGTTCCATCCTTCCTTTACATTTCAAATACTTATACCGTTTCACTTGATTCGGCGTACTGGTCTATGCAATCTTTAATTAGATAAAACAAAGAAAATAATCACAGGCGAAACATTAGATCCACGTCGCTTATAG